AAATAATAATAATGATAGATTGTATTAATATAGCGCTCTATCCCGTACTAGTATAAGCTCTGACTGCTTTACACCAATCACGTGATCTTTCAAACTAGAGAAAATATTTCACAAGAGACAAGAAAACCAGTTGAACCACATAAAGAAGAACTTTCACAGACATACAGTAACTATACGTGGCACGACCTGGTGGAATCAGGTGCCAGTGACACCCTCCAACAACCCACAGGCGTCAATTTTTGGGCGTATGGGCTAGTTATTGGTATCATCTTAAAGCCGGTTCATTTGCCTTCCTTTTGGTGAAAAATCTATCCGCCCATGTTGAACAGAAGTCGATATAATTGAAATAGAAGGAGGTGAGGATCATCTGGTTTCAGAAGTAAAATTAGCGAGAACACGGACGCCACAGTTTGCTAACTTCTATAACTTGAGAAGCCCTGGAGACTAAAATTTACATTTATTGTGCCCTTAATCAATGTTTTTCAGTAAAATAAACACAGAAATGTGTTTTTAAAAGAATGTAAAAGGTGTTGAGAAAATTAGAACCAAACTGCCAGACGGCCAGAATAACGCCGCCATTTTTAATTATTTCAAAATTTTGACGAGCGCCTGATTTCACCACGATGCCTCACATATATACGAAAGGTCAGCTGAAAATAAACCCCACAGCATATCAACACTTACCAATACTCTATAACTAATAATTAAACAAATGAATCTTGAGCAATTTGATGTTCATTTCTTTGAAATAGTTATGACACACAATGACGCCCAGATATCATTTTAAACAGTAATATAGTGTAAAGCGCATAGAGCCTGGTGTTGAGCGGGGATATGCGCTATACAAATGCTATCTATTATTATTATTATTATTTCCCCTTAGTTCTGTATCCAGTCTAGTTGTTGGGTGGGTGGTTGGCGGGTGCTGTGGTGTGGTTTGCTTCTTCTTTCCTAACCAATGTCTATCGTCTTTATCTCCCCTCCTTCTTTTTTGTGTTTGTTACTCTATTGTAACACCTCTAATCTTTGGCACTTATATGACCTTATTGTGTTGCAAGTGCCGTAAAACACTTACTAAAACTAAACTAAACTAGTTGTTGGGATAAAAG